ATCTAGCTATTTTATATAGATAATGAATAAATACTCTTCTCTCATTTTATAAGTAGACTAGCTGAAGTGATATCTCAGCAGTATTTCACTACTGAGAAAGAGTAATCTGCTGATCTTGTATAAAAGCAGACTTCTTATATTCATCAATCAGATCTTTCTATAATATATTTAAATAATATTATACAGTGATTGAAAACTGATTTAAACAGAATAAAATCATCTGTATAAAAGTGATAGACTGTGTGAAACTGTAATAAGATCTTGACACGGCTGAGAGTGTGACAGTGTCTCTTATAGTAAATATATAAACTAGTATAAATAATCTTATATTTATAAGAGTTATATATTATTACATTAATAAGAACTGAACTTATTAAGAGATATTAATTAAATTTAAATTATTAATTAGTAGTTATACTGAGAATTATATAATAAAGATATTAATAACTATAATTAAAAATAACTATTAAAATATTAGTTTCAGTCTTCTTATAATTATAACTAATAATACTGTGAATAACTACACTATAATAAAGAGTTTAAAGTAAAAATTAATTTTATACTTTTAAAATAATAAATAAGATTATATTCTCTGTATTACTTATATAATTTAACTTATAATATAAATACTGATAAAGAATCTTAATATTGAGATAAAGAATAATAAAATAGCTGATTCTTAATATTATTATTATTATTATTATTCTTTCATTATACTTATATACAAGCAGAGCTTATGATGAGTTCTTGTATAATGTTAAAAACAGGTCAAGTGTTGATTATACAGGAGAAAATACAGGTGTTAAGATCATATCAAGATAATAAGAATATAGAAAAATACAAAGAAGTGACAATTAAATACATATGAAATAACTTCTCAGCTCAGAAACATAGAGCAATTCATTGAAGTGATTTGTACACCTCTGTATTTATTAGAAACCTGAGGTGCTTGAGTTTCAGATTTAATATATTTGATTTCTCACGCCAAGGCGCTACCGGATGACCGTATTAATCATTCAGTCACCGGGGCTGATTCTTAAGATGAGAATAAGATAAAAGTAATTATTTAAGTAACTTTTATATTCACTTTATAAAAGATAATATTTTTTAATAATACTTTTTAATATTACTTTTTAATAATATTTTTTAATAATACTACTGTTAATTTTAAATAGATTAACTAATAATTTAAATATCACAGATTTTAAATATTATTAATATGATTTATATTATTATTATTATTATTATTATTATTATTCTTCAATTATAGATGTATGCAGTCAGAGACTATGACATCTACCTGAGAACTTTTAGTTCTCAGGGTTTTTCCTATGTCTGTAAAGTTAACTATTATACATTCATCAATTTCAGATATGCAAAATCAGAAAATTTCAGCTCAGAATACAAAAACTGTTTACAAATTGCAGTATTTTAACATCTTTTGATACTTTGAAATCATTTGACAATATCATGACAAAGGAAAAGAGAAAAAGAACACAGTCTCAAAGATAGACACATTAAATAGATAGATAGAAAGAAATTGAAAGAAAAAGATAAAGAAAAAGATAAAGTAAAGAGAGACTATAACAAAACAAATTATTAAAAGAGAGTGTATAGCTGTTTTAACAGACTATATCTGATTGATTTCCTTCTCTTCATATTCAGATAATTCTGAATTTAGTCATTTTCTTATAGCTGCTTGAGTTTCTGATAGAAAGTCTATTAAGTATTTAATTTCTGTCTTAGTTGAGAATAAGAATCTCATATTTAATTGATTTAGATCATACTTCTCTTTCAATCTGACTCTGAGACTATTGTATAATGCACAGTGTATTATAATATACTCAGAATTCTCATTTGTATTGCAGAATGAGCATTCTATTAAGTCAAATCTATCATTAAATCTTTGTATATAAGATTTGAAATAGTCATGTACTAGTTTCAGCTGTATTATAGATGAGAATATTTTCTTTTTATATTTAATTGAACAAGATTTCCACTTGGGTTTTATTTCAAATCTTGAATAATGTATACTCTTCTTTTGTTTCTGCCAGCTTTCATTTCACTTGTCTAAACAAGATTCTTTTATTTTTCTCTTTATAAAAGATTAGAATATAATTTTTTGAATAGATCTGCTTAATTCTGCACTCTCTTTTACAGCTGAATCAGCTAATTCATTGCCATGAATATTCATATGAGCAGGAACTCAGTGCAGATGAATTATCAGCTTTAATGTTCTTCTCTTTTGAATTTTCAAAACAGAGTTTAAAATCAGTTTAAGATTCATTTGATTATTATGAATCTGACTATTTCTAAGTCTTTTTAAAGCAGCTTGACTATCAGAAAATATTCAATATGATTTATATCTTCTTTAAATAATAATAATAATTTTATAATATTTAATAAATAAATAAATCAGTTACATCACTGAATATAATATAGAATATTAAAATATAATAGAGTTTAATATATAAAATAACTATTCAGACTCTTTAATTATATCAGATGATTAATTATTAAGTATAATACTCTAATTAAGAAAAGATTTAGATATTAAAACTTTCTAATATAGAGTGAACTCAGTTGAAATATATAATTAATTTACTATTTCAGTTTTATAAGATAATAAAGATAGTTTTAATTACTTATATATTAATACTGTAGTCAGTCTGATAAATATATAACAGTTTATTTACTTATCTTAAGAAGTAGTTAAATTACTTAAAAAGAAATTCAGTCTGAGATAATACTATAGTACAGACTATTATTACTATAAGAGATAAATTAATATATTACTAGACTGACTATGTGACTGTATCTGAGATCAGAATCAGATTTTTTAATAGTCTCATTATCAATTCAACTGATCTTATTACATAGTTTTAACATTAAATAGTAGTTTTATACTGTCTCAGTGAGACTTACTGTCTACTCTTATCACATTTTTCAATGAGATTATAATTTTCACTTCTCAATTTAAATTATTTTTATTACTTTAAATGACTTT